TGGTCCCGATCACTTCTTATATAGATAACACATTCTCATCAGAGAGCAAACAATTTCAAACTTGTCAAACCTAACAAAACTAAACCTAAGCTAACCTCCCCTAACTAACTTTGTCAAGCGACGTTGCAGAACATACATGTGGAAGCTCTTGCTCAGGATGAGTAACAGACCTATGGAGAAGCCTACAGTAAAGTCGTCCATGCAACGACAGCACTGCAGGTGTGTCTGACAGTCTGGGAAACTTAGCCTGGCAGACGGGAGGTCCTTACACCGGCCTCCGCCTTCCTGTCCCAACGGCTTCGGGGCTTAACGGTTCACTGTCTTTACGTTTTACTGTTCAAAAAGCTTCCTGTCTCAAAGGCTTCCTGTCCCAACAGGTTCCTGTCCACAAAGACCCTTGAAGCTACACACAAAATCAATGAATACTGGAATCAGCCGACGGGAAAACTTACCCTCTCCCGGACCAAACTGGGGTAGTCGACCATATGGTTGTCGTCGACGTAGTTGTGGTGGTAGTCGAAGTGCTGGTGGTCGTGGTCGGGGGCGGCCATGGCGGCTTCGAAGGCAGCAGCAGCGGCTTGGGTCTCCATGTCCCAGCGATGCTGCTGTTGCTGCCGCGCCTTCTTCACCTTGTCCCGTTGCATGTCCGAGCGCGAGGCGTAGTTGACCAGCGCGAACTCCAGCAGCGCCCCGAAGACGAAGGTGAGGCACACGCCCGTCCACACGTCGATGGCCTGTGGTACGCAGAGCACGCAAGAGTCACAAGGAGACCTATTGACCCCCATGCCAGGCATCGTTTATTTATTTATTTATTGGTTCAGTTAAATCTGACTCATGTACTTGTGCAGCCAATCGCACTCGTGAATTTATTCAACCATCCATTCATCCATTCTCTCTCTCTCACTGTCCCAACCTTGGTGTAGGAGACGGGAGGGAGAGACTGGTTGATGCCAGCGTTCTGAGTAGACATAGTGAGCAAGGTGGTGACCCCGAGGGCGACCCGGGCGGGCACAGCGTACTGGTCCAGCCAGAAGGACACCCAGGAGACGATCACCAGCATACAGCAGGGGATGTAGTACTGGATCAGGTAGTAGGAGAACTCCCTCTTGAAGATCAGGTTCACCTTCAGGCAGCTGTACTCCCCTGTAGGAGTGGGTGCACGAGGGATGAGGGAGAAGGAGGGATTGCCAGCCAGTTTACCAGACTGGCGGTCTGATTGTCTCACAACAGAGTATCTCACACGTCACGTTATCAAGTCACTAAACAGTCAACAGTTAAAGAGATCTGATAAATGAGAACAACAATTACAGTTGGTTTTTTTAATATTAGTTTAAGTCAATATAAACTCACTTTTTTATATAAATTATACAAAACAATTTAGAATAAAAATATTAAAGACTTTTTTAGGTAGGAATTTTTTAAATTAACAAAGTGTCATGAGGTGCAATGGATCATTCTGAATATGGAAGGTTAAACGAGTAGAGATTTTGTTTACTTTTCTGGTCTTGACTTCCTACATACCCTATGTTGTGAGGTAAGCTTCCCCCGCCACCCCCATGTTGTGAGGCAAGCCACCACCCCTATGTTGTGAGGCAAGCTTCCCTCACTACCCCCATGTTGTGAGGCAAGCCACCACCCCTATGTTGTGAGGCAAGCTTCCCCCACCACCCCTATGTTGTGAGGTAAGTTTCCCCCACACACCCCCATGTTGTGAGGCAAGCCAGCCATACCCGTGTTAGTTTTACTGTTGCAGTACTCGGTGACGAAGTGCTCCAAGGTGAACCGCGGCAGGTGTAGGTTCTTGGTCACCTGGATGGGTTCCTTGCTCTCCCAATGAAAGACCAGGTCTTCTGTCGTCCAGCCGTCTGTCGGAGAGACAGAGAACAGTCATTACGTGGGAGACAGAAAGTCCAAGTTTAGAACATACCTCCTGGAGAGTTAGCCCAACCACTTAGGCTGGACGGTAGAGCGAAGGTCTCGCTTCATGTAGGTCTGCATTCAATCCCCGACCGTCAAAGTGGTTGGACACCATTCCTTACCCCCAGTCCCATCCCAAATCCTTATCCTGCCAAGTGCAATATAGTCGTAAGGGCTTGACACTCTCTCCTGATAGTTTCCTTCCCTTTCCCTGGTGAGTGAGTCCAAGTGTCTTAGAACATACATTAGACGATAGATAAAAATCCGACGTTGATAGATGGACGTAGACGTGAGAGAATTGTCCGGAAATTCAAGATCAGATGCTGAGTAAGACTGGACTTTGACGATGAGTCCAAAAGATCGAAATTTCTCGGATAATGTTTTGATTTGGCCATGAAAAAAAAGGTCACAAATGTCAAGGTCAATAGTCACATTTGGTTGAACATATTAGATAAATACAAAGTTAACAGTTGCACTTGATTTGACCTAAAAGCAAATTCAAGAACTCGAAATCTAAAGCTAGACTTTGATTGACCGCAGGAGATAACTCCACGAGCCTGTGGGCATTCTGCCGATACCCGCCGGCTCCTCATGCTCGACTGCCATCCCTGCCACAGTACCGTTTATGCTCCAGGTCCTCAACTAGCCCAGCCACACTGTGATCCTGGACCTGAAGTACTCCCCACACTATACCCCTCCGTGGCCAACTAATAATCACTACACAGTAATTCCGAATTCAGTTGTCGATACTTAAGTGTCGATCATTGAATACCGCAATGAAAGATACGTACACGCATGCACGCGCGCCACACATACCTGCTCCACTCCCACCTACCACAGGAGGACCTGGGTTGTCTGTACCAGTCCAGCCGAGTCCCCATCACACCCCCGAGCAACCGCCACCGGGGCGTCACCAGACTCCTCCACACCCACAATCACCTCAGGGAGAGGAGAGGACACCGTTGACACCATCACGCCATCTTCACCACACTCAACCGCAGATGGAACAGATTCGACACATCACGTTCTTCTGTAGTCACATCGTCTGTCGCGTCCTGTATGGCATCTTCACAACTGTCAACGTCCTTCTTCACCCTCCGATGGTTTTGCGCGCCTTGACGCCCGCTCATCAGGGGCGGAGCCGACGCACACCTGACGTAAACTACGACTCTGACGCCATCTTCGCCACGAAGGCTTGGGAAGGGCCACCACCGCCACCCACCTGCGGCGGGACCTCTACATTTATCACCACCTGCTACATCGTCACACACACTCAGGGGTCTTCCTGGCATCTGGCGCCGGCCACCACATCCACCGCAGCTCTAGCCATTCCGTCACTCCCAGAACGGAAGCCAGCGCCATCCTGCACTCTAGGAACATCACTATCGCCACCGTCCGACTGGGACACCTTACCACCCACCCGCAATGGAAGGAACTCCGCGTCTCGGAAGATATTCACTCAGTCAGCCAGGTCAACAGTACATCCGGCGGCCAAATGGCCAGGACATCCACATTTATAACCCGTACGAGCTGCCCCGTGTAGAGGAAACGTACTCTAAATCCCACCAGCATCAAATAAGAAGGGCGTCCTGTTTAATGACCGTCTTGATGGTCAAGGGGGCCATGCAGTAGACCCTTCGCTTTGCCAAAGGAATACTTCTTCTGACGAATACCTTCCACTTTACCACACCGGTCCAGGACACGAAGGGTGAGGTTATCCGACACTTAAAAAGGCGCGTCATTCGCTACTACGAACGAAAACGTCTGGCTCATGTCAACCACACAGACTGTGTGACGGCCATTCTGCAGTTGTGTCACTTTTTCCTCGTAACGGACCAGAAACTTCCGGAAGATCGTAACAGACACCGTCATCACAGCACGGTCCTCTTGAAGCACTTGAAAACCTATCAGATCCTCACTGCTTACTCCCAAAACGTAGCACTTAAAGTAACAAAATCTATCTTGCACGAAAATCTAAAACCAGCTGACGCAGTCCGTCTCAGCGGGGGCGAAGACGGCCCCCATACCGCCATGCAGGGCCACACCGGCGGCGGTGACGAACACCAGGCCCCGGGGGAAGCAGCAGGTCACCAGCTGTAAACATTAGGCCAACATGGGACCAGAGAAGTCACACATGCATGTCCGTCCCCTACCGCGGCCAACCACGGTCTCCTTCTTGAATTGTGTAACTAGCTCATTATGACTGTAACTTGCTGAGCTTTATGAATTTTGGGGTTCAGTCCCTCAGCTCATTATGTGCCTCTGTAACCCGTTCCACTACTCCCCACAAGATGGGTATGGGGTACATAATAAATGAATTAAACTGTAATTGTGCTGTTGTTTATTGACGGCCATCGACAATCGAGGCAGCATTTTGTGATGTCACTTTGTCTCCGCCTCAACAGCCTATTGCCAATACGTAAAATTACCATACGTTATAGCGCTTACATAAATGGTCAATAATCTCTTAAGTATATACAAAAGTACAGCCATCTTCCCTTTTCTCTAATCAACATATATTAATTGTTATTAATTTCTCTTCACTATATTCCCTTCGATAGCAATGTGAATTATATAAACCGGTGAGTGGTGTTTCGACCAATGAGACTCGTCGTTACAAAGCCCCTATTCATTCATAACCTAGCCACAATACTACTATAACAACAAAAGCGATGTTGCCATTTTGCACTTTCCAACAAACTTGGGGCTAAAGGAAAACTTTTCCTAGACTGCACTAACTCTCATAATCCTGAAGTAGAGCAAAGTGAGCGGCGCTTCACCAGCCCAATTAACATGATGGAAGATTTAAGAATACATTCAATACTGTATCAGCCAGGCCCATAGGGTCATGCAACAGCACGTATTCACTAAGAATATCCTAACAATAACCTGCAGCAACATCTCACTGCCATGAGATTTGGAGTATTTAGAAGTGAGCACACACAATGCAGCAGGAAGTTTGTTACTTCCGGTGAGTGACGGTCAGTGACAGGGGGGAACGGAACTAGGTATAAGAATCCCAAATGAAATTAGGGAAATCAGTTCTGACCAGCGGTTCTCAGTGCCTTTGATCTTAACTCAGACTGGGAGAGAATTGCCTTTCATGGCCCAAGTTAATTTGCCCAGACCAGTCGATGGCAGAGTATCACAGTAATTACTAACAGTTAAAGGTTTATATATATATATATATATATATATATATATATATATATATATATGTCGTACCTAATAGCCAGAACGCACTTCTCAGCCTACTATGCAAGGCCCGATTTGCCTAATAAGCCAAGTTTTCATGAATTAATGTTTTTTCGTCTACCTAACCTACCTAACCTAACCTAACCTAGCTTTTTTTGGCTACCTAACCTAACCTTACCTATAAATATAGGTTAGGTTAGGTTAGGTAGGGTTGGTTAGGTTCGGTCATATATCTACGTTAATTTTAACTCCAATAACAAAAAATTGACCTCATACATAGAGAAAAGGGTTGCTTTATCATTTCATAAGAAAAAAATTATAGTAAATATATTAATTCAGGAAAACTAGGCTTATTAGGCAAATCGGGCCTTGAATAGTAGGCTGAGAAGTGAGTTCTGGCTACTAGGTACGACATATATATATATATATATATATATATATATATATATATATATATATATATATATATATATATATATATATATATATATATATATATATATAAAATAGGGAAGGGAGTACCACTGACTGGAAGAAGGGGGACCCATAGCTTCGGAGGAAACTACGCATAACGCATTAGAAGTAATGTTTGGATCACCTCCAATACAGTTTTTGTGTGCTTTTTTCCTACCACCCCCTTCCCTTTTTTTGTGCTTTATTATGCCCATTTTTTATTTCTCGCCGGCGCCGGGAATCGAACCCGGGCCACAGGATTACGTGCCCAGCATGCTATCCACACGGCCACCGGCACCCTACAATATGTACTCACCTAATTGTGCTTGCGGGGGTTGAGCTTTAGCTCTTTGGTCGGATGTGTGCACGTGGGTGTGTGTGAGTGTGTGAGTGTGTGTGCGCGTGTGTGTGCATAAATCACAACGAAATTAACATGTGATGAATAATGTGAAAATGTACTCCACGAGACGTTACTTGAGCACTTTCATGTTAATCAACACATCATCAAAAGCATAATCAATGAAATTGATTAGGCAGAAAAAACGGAAAATACACGTGAGGTAAAAAAGAAACTGTCTTGGTAATATTGGTTCATGCACATCAGAACAGGAGCAAACTGCGAAAAGCTTAATGACATCCCTAATGGGATAGGTGCATATTAATCATCTTTCAAATATATGCTTTTAATTGATTAAAAATGGATGCAAATTGTTCAAATCATTACTAATGTTCATTTGCATGACTTTGTAACTTGTATTAAAGCCGATTCAATAATATTTATATTACAAATATTTTTACAATTCGTTATTGAAGAAAACCTCTTCCAATCAATTTGGTGAGAATTTTCTGACATGAATTGTGTTTTTTTTTTAACATTGTGACTCCCTACAGTAAAGATCTAACTACTAACATAACATCAACTTAGCTGTCTACAGTGACAGTAGTCATATCCAGTGGCCACTAGAAAACTGTTGATTTCTGATAGTGGAAAGAAATCACTAGTGGACTGTATCTATTCTTTGTGTTCCCTAGGTGGCTCAGTTTCAGGGTGATCCAACAGGAAATGTATTGATTTCATTTACCTGACGGATGAAAATTGAGGGGAATTTTCAAAGCGTGCTGTCCACTCAGCCACCAGCGCCCTTTTTAATACGGCGGAGGAGTATTGTTTACTGTGTGTGAGGGAGTGTAGCATCGGTGTGATTACACACTCCTGTCGCTGTTTATGGCAAGACACACACTTAAAACACTTCAAATGGAGTGTCTTGTATTTTATACACATTTATGTGCAGTTTACACC